AAAAAGAGCAGACCGAGAGTCTACTACTGCTGCTGCTGTGCGTTATCAGGATGGTTCCCCGCGGGATCGGTTCAGATTGCGTACTTGCGCCGCGCTGCTGACTGTCTTCGCAAAGAAAGCCGTGCCCTGTATGCTCTTGATGCTGCTGCAGGGCTGCAACAGGGCCTCTCGGCCTCTCGCATCAAAGTCATGACGTCACATGGCCATCAACGGCTTTTTGTTGTTTTTCGTTCATGCTGGATTGCTTGCTTTCACTTGAGCGGGAAACTCGGAAGGCTTGCGACGAATGTGGCGGGCAAGTTGTGAGCCTGACGCAATATTTGCTATCTAATCCGACGTCTACGCTGCTGGTCGTGCTCCTCGACGGTGTGGTGTGTGATACGCTCGCCGCCGGGGGGATGCCGCATGTGTGTGTGCGTATTCCAGATGCCCAGATGTGCGTGTTGGCGTCCGCACAGCGGGAAGACTTCACATTTTGTTTCTTCGTGCATGTGCGTCAAAACGGAAAGAAACAACCGCATGTAAATGTGCAAAAAATTGAACGGTGGTCGCTCCCGTCGCACGCCTGCTGTCCCTCTGTGGTGCACGCGTAGCTGCACCACAAACGATTCACGCTGGTGTTTGTCGGGATTCATGCACCATCAGCATTGCAGACATGACTACTGCAAGGTACTGAGTCGCACCACGCGGCTCATTACCCCCCAACACCTTGTAGACAACGGTGGGCGTCCTATGTGTTTCATGGCCTGGTTCGCAAAATTCCGTGACCGAAACACGCCCACATGGGATCGGGGCGAGTGGAGATGATGAACAGGACCCAGCACACTCATGTTGGAGATTGTCCATACCGTAGACAGTGTAAGCAATTTTTTTTAATGGAATCGAAATGAGCTCTGCCCACAATCTAGGAGAGTTGGCTTTAGCAGTCGTTGTCGGCAATGTTTTAGCCCGTGTGTGAGTCTGAGGAGAGGGTCGTGACGTACGGTGGTTGTATTCAATTTCATTACCATATGTATTGTGTGTGGCGTGGTTTCCAGGTGAGAGTGATGACCTCTACGCTGGTATTTTGTGGGTTGTCATGTCCACTATCCTCGCCTTCGTGTTTCGTTCTCAATATCCACACTCGGACATCGATACTGTCAACAATATTCATTGAAGGTCGTGTGTGTGCGAAGTGTGATAGTTGTAGAATGAAACATTTGGCGCTGATGAGAGATCGCAGGGGGGGTGATTGAAGACGTGTACGGTAGGCCATTACGGGTTTAGCTAATCATCGGAGATGCACATAATGCCGGCTTCAGATGTGAAGTTCCTAATTTGATTTCTGACAAAGAGATCTACCGCCGTTCTGCCGGACTCTCGTCACTGGCACATTTTCACCACTGACACCACCCGTTCCTTGCAGCATCCCACTAGGGGGCACTCCTCTTGCCACCCGCAGGGATGCACAATATTGTTGGGAGTCTCAGTACTCCGAACTCGGTGGGTTCCTTGAGTGCACACTGATGCAGCGTGAAAGTACGAAAACAATGGTAATCCGACGAGCTGAATATGAAGACCATGAGCGAATTTTAGTATCACAAGAAAAGTGCTATAATAGGTTCTGGTTCCTCGAATAAAAGAGCCCCGAACACCAGACGGCTCGGGGCCACACCTTTTCTGTGGCATACTCCTTACCCTCCAAATGGTTTGCAACTTTCAGTATAGGTTGGACCCTTCGCGCTTTCCGAATGCTCCGTTCGTGCTCACCGAATATGTATTCCGTGTTCATATCTTATATTTCCTGTCGTCTCTTCGGCAACAAACACGCGAATTGTTCGCCTTCGTCCTCGGACACTGTCTCCTTCGATTAAGCTTTCGGTATACCTCCTCAGGATAGGTTAGACCCGTTGCGCTTTCGGAATGCTCGGTTCGTGCTGGCCGAATCTCCCAGCTTTGATGTAATTTCAGGATATTTACCTCGTATATTCACGTACTTTTCCGGGGCTCATCTTCTTCCTTGCGCCATCCTCAGATACGTTTAATTTGTCTTTACAATTCCGATTCTGATTCTGGCGTATCGGTATGTACGTTTAATCCATCATATCCCTTCAACGGCAGCCTGCCGTGTTTGTATGGATGAAATGTTCAATTTCGTTCCATGCCACATCAGGCGTCGTTTCATACGAGCGCGCTACCCCTTCTGATCTCCGTTTTCGATCTGCAAGTTGCGTATTTATGTTCCAACATACCTGCGTGTGGAATGGGAGTGTTCTCCGACGGTGCGACCGATAAATCACTTACGCTTCACGTTCTTCTGCACATGATCATACCAACTACATCTTTCACATTCTTCATCCTTCATTCCTGCCATTTCGTGCGCACTATGCTCGACACCTACCCGGTCAAACTGGAATTAGTGCCACGTCTGTCTCAACAGACTGTCTGTGCCATGTTTGGGCTGTACCGACCTTGCCTCGTGCGCAGCTTAGTTAACCATATTTTCTCCTAATACTATGCATACCTCCATCAACCACAATACCTGTATCGGCATGTTGCTTTACTCTGCGCAAACGATCATTCACGTACTCTTGTCTACCGCCACATTTCCTAAGCTCTCTTCGCATTGCGCCCCCCCCGCCCAACCCCCCCTCGGTGTTTGCCATCGGGATTGGGTTTGCGTCGCTTGGCAACGACGTTGTAAAACAAGCTAATTCACTTCGTGAACTCGGCAACCAGGTTACCGTTTTTTTTTTCCCTCTGTTTTTTTTTTTGCGGTAACCAACATGGTGGTCGAGTAGATCATGTTGTGCGGGGTGGAGAACCCTCACTCCGCGCAAGGGGGATGATCGCACCACGTTGTGTTAAAATGGTCAAGCATCCTTGAGGCAGTTACACAGTGCTTACAACTGTCTCTGGAAGTGAATGCACCAGAAAATAAACGAAGTCATACGCAGCTGTCATCCGTACGCAAGGAAGTAAGCACAAGATGCCGAACACCCTTAGCAGGATGCAGCTCACCCTTCATGCGACTCGCCAAATACCTCACGGCGCTTCGCGCTTGGTGATGTGAGAGCCTAGTCCGGTGAGAACCCGACGTGCTCCGTCTCGGCTTTGTAGGGATGCGAGGTCAATGGTCTAACGACTACGGCATGCACGACTATGAGTACACCCCCCCCCCCCACCCCCCCCCCCCCCCGGGGGGGGGGGAAACCGGAAAGACCAACCTGGTGGGGGTTGTTTTCCCGGGGGGTGGCCCCCCT